GGAGCGGCCGGCAGACGCGCGGCCTCTGTGCTTCTCCGCGCGACGGGCGCGCCCCGCTCTCACCTCCACTCCTCCGGCGGGTGTGCGAGCTCGTACTTCTCCCGCACGTGGGAGACGCCCATGTCCAGATGCAGCCAGTGCACCTCCTCGGACCGCAGGTGACTGAGGCGGAACCCGTAGCAGGCCACGTGCTTCACCTTGTGGCTGTCCACGATCTTCTGGATGATGCCCTGAAACACCCCAGAAACGGCCGTCACGGCCCGGAAATCACGGTGCCAGTTCAGCTCTTTCAGATCATCATCGAAGTCTTTGGTGAAAGAGCATCGGATCAAATCAATCAATTCCACGTCATGAACAGGAGGCCTGAGAAACAGGCGCATCCCTCCGGCCCACGGGCGCCCCCGCCGACGGGCAGGCAGCCCCGCGGGGCGCTGGCGGGAGGCTGCCTGAGCCAGCTGCCGCGCATCCTCCTCGGCCGCATCAGGACGCACAGCTCAAGCTCACTTCTGACGACGCTGCCGCCCCCGGGGCACCCGTGGGAGGGCCGCACGAGCGGCGCCCTGGCTGCGGGCCCAGGGCCCGACGAGCGAGTCCCCGAGGCCGCCTCATGAAGCGGAACGACACAAGTGATAAACGCCCCAAGCTTCGCCAGCGGCGCACAGAGTCGGCCACGAGTCAGCCACCCACGAGCGGGCACCTGGCGCGTGTTTCGGGCCTGAGTGACAAGTCCTCTATCCATCAGCCCATTCGGGTCACCAGCGCTACAGAGCTGACGCATACTGAGCGCACAGCCTCAACTCTAAATTCCACCGGTCCCTTCATCCTGGCCCAAAACAGCTACGACACGCAGGATGGAGAGCACCCAACGGTTCACTGCCGGGAAGGGGCGAAGACACTGGAGCCCGACACCGGGCGCCTGTCCCCCGACATGAGCGTGGTTCTCCGAGAGGGGCAGGGAGGCAGGCGGTCCTCAAAAGCCACACGACTCGGGCTGCCAGCCGCCGGGTCGCAGGGGCCGCTGTCCACGGGCGCTCGGAGCACCCCGCACGGGGAGGGGCGACGCCCCGGGGCCCTCTCCAGCCAAGGCCTCACTCGGCTGCCACGCTCTGCAGCCTCACCCAGGGCTGGCGCGACAGGCCCGCAGCAGCGCCTGAAGAGACGGCCGCCGGGAGCCGGCCCTCGGGTGGCCGAGGCGGGAAACGCCTGGCTTGGCCCACAAGCGCTACAGGCTGTTTTAGCCGCTTATTTCCTTCTTCCTTGAGAGTCTTAAGGGGGTGCACAAGCCACTGGCACCGCGGGGAGCCCCAGCAGGGCACGTCCCGACCACAGACAAGCCGCGCCTGTCCCCGCCGGAGCACTCACCCTGACGTCAGTGGCGTCCCCGTGCCGGATGATACTGGCCCACGTGGCCGGCTCGCTGCTGTTCTCGAAGTAGTGAAAGACCTTTAAGACCCGCTCCATCGCCCCGGGGGAGCGCTCCACGCCGGCCCCCAGGTGCGTCTTAGTGCTGGGGTGCGGCGTGTGGTTCAGGTTGGGGTCGAGGTGCGCAGCCGCCATGGCTCTGCCGGGCGCTAGGTATCCGTCATGCTCTGGAAGAGAGGAGGTCATTTTCAGTGGCCCCGCCCGCAGCCAGAGCCGAGGCCTGTGCCCCGCCGCCCGCTGGCGCCTCCACGAGGGCGCGCCCACGGAGAGCAAGTCGACGCCGGAGCGCACCGCGTCCCTCGGCCAGGGCAGCCCGGTCCGCCCACAGGACAGACGCCTGCCGGCCCGGCAGGAAAGGCCCGGCGCCCGCTCCAGCTCTGGAGAAGCCCGACGATGATGACGCAGCTTCACCACGCCGCCTTGTAAATAACGACTATGCGTGTGGGGCAATGGCACAGGGAGGCCCGAGATGTTCCTGCGCAAACAGGTGAGATGCGAGTCTTTGGTCCGTCCTGGAGACTCGGGGAGCCGTCGCCACCCGGAGGCGAGGGGCGGGGAGGGGCGGCGAGGGCCGGCGGCAAGGACAGCTGCTTGGAGGTGCGCACCGAGGGCTGTGCTCGGGCCCAAGGCGGCAGAGGCGGCGGCCAGGCTGACTCCCGCCGGGAAGCTCAGAGAGGCGCGTAAGGGCGCCGCCCGGGGCTCGAGGGGCCGCGGCACTGTCAGAAGCAGGGGCGCCGCCCCCCTCAGGGCTGCGGGGCCCGG